GGGTTATTGGGTCCTCTCAAGCTGCTGCTGCTCAGAGAGTGTCTGCCTGAGCCCAATGGCTGCTGCCGTATGGGGGAGGAGTCAGCACCAGGATCCCGCTGGCTACTCTCTCCTTTCTCTCCAAAGCCTCTGTCTTCAGTCTCTCCTCAAGTGTTTCTAGACCACTCTGTACCCCCGTTAGCCAGGGATCTACTATCTGTGGCTGCTACTTTGTACTCGGCTGTCAAGTTTTAGCACTACCAGGCCTAGGCAGAGCCTCCTGGGGGCAGAGTTATTGGGTTCTGTCGTGATGTTTCAGCTCAGGGGAAAGGTCTGCCTGAGCAAGATGGCTGCTGATGAGTCAGCACCAGGATTCCCTTGGCTACTCTCACAGTTCTCTCTCCAAAGCCTCCTTCCCCAGCCTCTCTTCAGGTGTCTCCAGCCCACTCTGTCCCCACTTTTGCCAAAGCCTAGGGTAAGTGGCGGCAAACAAAAATTTATGTGTTGGCCCTTTAAACAACCCTTTGTGTCTCCAGCCACCTGTCTCTGGCAGAGAGCAACCGTGCCGCTTTTCGCAGCTGGCTGTTATCTGTGTCCTGTAGACTGGAGACCCCCGCTCATGGTTTAGACCCCGCTCTTCTCAAGGGGATCCAACTGGCCATTTCAATATCCTTTTGGTGCTGCCATCCGTGGGCCCCCTGCCCGCCTTTTCTCGAGTCTCTACCGCACTCCTTACCAATTAGATTGCACTAAAGCCGATTCTTCTGTCTGTCCGAGGTTATAAGGCTCCTCGCTCACTATTGTTCAGTTGTTTGTTCCAGATGATTTCTCCACAATTTAGTTGTAATTCCAGGTTGGTCCTGGGAGAAAGTCAGTGTGACTTCCACTCACTCCTCTGCCATCTTGATCACAGTGTGTTTTCTTATGGAACGAATTATACTCTTATAATCCAATTAATCAATCATGCTCCTTGATATTTACCCAAAGGAGCTGGAAACTTGTATGTTCACACAAAAACCTGCACACAGATGTTCATAGCAGCTTTATCATAATTTCCAAATCTTGGAAGCAACTAAGATGTCCTACAGTAAGTGAATGGATAAACTGTGATATACCCAGACAGTGGAATATTATTTAGCTTTTAAAAGAAATGAGCTATCAAGCCATGAAAAGTCATGGAGGAATCTTAAATGCATATTGTTAAGTGAATGAAAGCAATCTAAGCAGGCTACATACTCAGTAATTCTAAATATAAGACAGTCTGGAAAATCAAAGCTATGGAGACAATAAAATAAATCAGTGGTTTCCAGGTGTTGGTGGGGATGGAAGGGTGGATGAATGAACCAGCAATGCCCAGAGGATTTTCAGGGGAGCAGAAATAGTATGTATGGTATAGTAATAGATATATGTCATTATTCATGTGTCAAAACTTACATATTACACAGCATTATGAATGAACCCTAGCCCTGGCCAAGTGACTCTGTTGGTTGGAGCATTGTCCTAATACATCAAGGTTGTAGATTAGATCCCTCGTCAGGGCACATATAAAAATCAACCAAAAAATACAAGTGGGGCAACAACTCAATGTTCCTCTCTCCCTTCCTCCCTCATTCAAGTCAATAAAAATAAATTTAAAAAAATAAAAAGAATTAACCTTATAGCAGACTATGGATTTGGAATGATTATGATGTGTCAATGCAGGTTCATCCTTGGTAAAAAGTGTACCAATCTGATGAGTAATATTGATTATGGAGGAGGTTATACATGTTTGGGAGCAAGGAATATATGACAAATCTCTATACTTTCCTCTCACTTTTACTGTAAACCAAATACTAAAAATATTAAATACTAATTTTTTTTTTACCTTAAAGAAAAATCAACTTTCAAAATTTTTACCAAAATACAAATTTCAGTATCTTGTTTTTTTTTAAAGAAAAGGAAAAGAAGCTAAGGGATGATCCCATGTCAGTAGTAAAGTGAACTGGCATTCAGCCAACATTTTCAGGCTCAGTTATGTTGTGTCACTTTTTGACACCATGAAAAGACCAACCTGTCAACTTGTCGTGCACTCTATAGAAAGTATATCAGTCTTATGGCAATGAGTCTGTGCTCACTCATGAAATTTTCTTTATTTTTCTAGAATTTAAATTATTAAGTCAAAATAGTGACACTGATAATGTTTTTGATACATAACCTTCAACTGTTTTCAATAAATATACCTATTTACACACAGAAAAAATTTATTGACCACCTACTGCATATAAAGCATTGTGTTGAAAAATGACGACGGGGCAGCAAACAAGGTAACTTTATTCATGAAGCTCACTTCAATCAGAAATTGAAAAACAGATAAATAAAAAAACAAATAAGATAATTAGATTGTATAAATTATAAAGGAAATAAACAAGGTAGTGTGACAGAATAACTGGGAAAGGCTCCCTTCTGTAAAGGCGTTTTGTAGTTTTGTTTCCAAAGACAAGCTGGTTAGGCAAGGCAGGCTGGGAAGCAGAGAAGCAAGGAGTGGAGGAAAGACAGGCTACTCCTAGTGAAGATGATTGGAAAAGCGGCAAGAAGAAGCCCTAGTTTCATCACAGATGTGGAAATTGGCTTAGAAAAAGTAAGTGATTTGATCAAAGTCTCAATCTGGGACTGAAAGAATAGCTGAGATTTCAGAAGACAGGTTACATTTGGGGTGAAGGAAAGAATGTAAGTACAACCTCTGGTTACAGCAAGAGAATAAAGTTGACGACTCAGAAGAGGTGCCCTGATTATGGGGCTAGCAATGATATTACTCTACTTGTTATGGGGGGACCATAGGCATAATCACACTGTGCTATGCTACAGAAAAATAACTCTTGTAGAAAAGGTTTTGTTTGGTTGGTTGTTTGTGTGTGTTTGCACGATGGGGAACTACAGTAGAGAAGTACATTAAGAGACCACTACAACTGACTCAGTGAAAAATTTTAAAAACTGACCCTAGGAGGTAGTAATAGAAAAGAAGACAGTGTGAGAGCAACTTGGGATATGTTTGTTACCGTTGTTACAGGTATACCGTTACTACAGAAACATACCTGCAGAATCCAACATGAAATAACTCCAATCCTACAGTACTGAATAAACTCTGCATGCTTTCCCAAATGGGTTGGAATTTTTCTACAAATCCCATGAGCCAATGTTCTTTGTACTGAATACTACCATGCCTAAGAGAATACCACCTATGCCTGATGAGTATGGTTTCATAGTATCTTTTTAAAATCTCATTAGATAAGTGTCTGTACATATTATTTCATTTAGCATTACAATGCCCACCTAATCTTAAACATAATGTAAACCACATTATTCTATTCAAATGGTACGCAATTTCCAAAAGGAAACTGTGGAGCTTTTTTTTAAGTCCAGGTCCCACACAGGCCTCAACAAATGATAATTTGAAAATTGTTTTAAAGAAACAAAAGAACTCTTTCCACGTGTAGTATGTTGAGTATTCCCACTGCTATTTTTAGAATGAACACCACTTCCCCTTGTGCAACCTTTTCTAAATGATACTAACAAGGTCAAGGATCATATCCTATCCAAAAACAAGACCTATACAACATAGATATCTATGCTCTCTTACTATGGCTTATCTACAAGTGATTTGACTTACAGATTTTACTTATATGTTTATTTTGCACACTTCATGTTTATATATTTAAAATATTTATACTATTTGTATTTATTGTTCTTAAGTATTTGTTTTCATTCCAGTCACTGATACTTTTACATATGGCAGTGTTATATCATACTGGCGGGCTTTAAAGATATGCCTTAGATATTACCAGTATTTCATATTCATTGGATAATCTGGGGCTCAGAACAACCCTATGAAATACGTAAGTAAAATATTTTCCCCTCTGTACAATGGTGAAATTGGAGCTTAGAAAGGTTGGGTAACTTGACTAATTCAAGATCACATAGTAATTGGCAGGGGCAGGATCTTGACCTGATCTTCAGACTCTATGTTCATGCTCTTCTCCCCACCAGGGCATTACCAATTTAATACTTGAATATTCATGTGTCTTCTACAAACCTGGGCCGCGCCACTATGGCTCTGCCAAAATCCCGAGTGTCGAAATGCAGCCGGAACAGTAGCACTTTTCAGTAAACACAAACATGAGCACACGTTTCGGTCAGGACCCCATTCAATGCAGGGTTTGCTCCACTGCACAAAACTTATTAAAATACACAACAGCCTTAAAGCATAACCCTTAACAGCACTTTTTCATTCAGTGGTAAGTTCAGTGAATGCCAAAGTGACTCATACGGTTAACTTATGGTTTTCTAAACTAATAACTTTGGATGCCAAAGGAAAATAATGAATTACACAGACCTCTCTCCATCATCACCCCCGAAGTTAAGTGTCAAAGCGAGATAGTTAAACACGAGGACGGAGGTGGAGCTGGAGCCAGCATTCCTCCTCCCTGCGACTTCCACCGTCCCCAGGCAACCCATTCCTCAAAGCCCAAAGGATCTCTTCCGACCCCAATCCCGCCGTGACCAGAGTGACTACCGGACCCGGAGCGCCCCGCGAACCAATACAGGAGCCCTGCCCGGAGCTGCGGCAACGACAACTCGCTCGGCTAGGGCCGCCCCCTTCCCGAGGCGTCCCCACCTGCCCCGTAACCCGCACACCTGGAAGCCCCCGTCCCGGCAGAATACTCGTGGCAGGAACCGACCCGTAAGTGCGGCTCCCTAGGGCAGCCCGGCGACCCCGGGCAAGTCCGCTTCCGCTTCCACCCCACATGGCCGCGAGAGACAGCGCCCCCGCCCCCGCATGCGCCCCCAGTCCCGCAGGGCCCGGGATCGCTGGAGGCGGGAGGGGGGCGCCAGCGCTGCGAAACCTGGGGAGGAAGAAGAGCAGCAGGCGCGCCTGCCGTGGAAGAGGAGGAGCGCGTCCTGACCCGCCGCAGGGGCTGGCGGAGAGGGAAGGGGAGAGGGTCAGGCGGCGCTGGCGGCGGCGCCGCGGAGCAACGGGCATCTACCTGCGAACAGAAGTACGAGCCCTGGATGCCCAGCTTGATGCAGGTGGGACACTGGAGCTTGGCCTCACTGCTGCAGCCGTCCGTTTCGCACACCCGTGTCTCCACGGCCGCCATGCTGCCTGGCTGCTGGAGAAGCACCCTACCGAGGAGAAGGAGGAGGAGGGAGGGAGGAACGGCTGGGTGGAGGGACGGCCGGGGAGGAGAGAGAGGCCGAGCCAGAGGCGGAGCTGGGCCAGCCGGGCCTTGGGACGGAAGGAAGACGAGCGCCCGCTCGGCCCAGACAACACTGCGCGCCCCACCCCTTCCCCGCGCGCGCATCTGGCGCCCCGCCCACCGCCTTCGCTCCGCCCCCTACCCCCACCCGCTGGCCGCTGGCGCGCACGTGGGAGACGTGGGACACCCTCGCTGAAACAGTCCCTGGCCCTGCGCGCAGCTCCGCTGTCTGCCCTTTGGGAGCGCGATTTCCTAGCGCCTTGCAGTGGAGGCCAGTGGAGGCCAGGTGAGGCCCGTGAGGATAGGCCCACGTGCCTCGCGCTCTCTGCCAAGAGAGACATATCCCCAGTAGTCCTTTACTGATTGAATCTCAAGCTCCTGAATGACCCCCCACGCTCCCTGGCGGTTGCAAAGGTCTCTGTATTCCACTGCGATAGCACATCCAGCAACTACTCAGAAAAGGAAAATAATATCCTTTCTTAAAGTTATATCTCTCACTGACTCTGCTCTGAGGGCGAAGAACTACCGCTCATTCACAAAAAAAAAAAAAAAAAGGCCAGAGAGTTGTATATGAGGAGGCGGGCTGGGATTTGCATCGGCCCTCCTCCGTGCCAGATGTTTTTTTCACACCACCCACCTCCATTCACAATCAATGCTGGTACTAGAAGACAGCAGCTACTAAATATTAAATACAAAGTTTAGTTATATTCGATATATAATATTTTTGTATTAGCCCAGGTAATTTAAGAGGTAATTAGGGGAGAATTGAATTAATCATGAAATGTCAGACTTGCAAGGAGCGTTAGAAGTTACCTGATGCAAATCTGTTGCCTAAATTCCTTCAACTATATCCCAGATCTGCCATTTGCTGATTTGTGCTTGAACAACTACTGTCACTAGGGAAGAGAGGAACTAAAATTGGTCATCAGCTAAGTACTGTGAACTTTGTGTTATCTAACCCATTTTTTAAAAATTCATATTAATAGACAAGAAAAGCTCACATTCATTTTAAATAGCTTTGTTTTACAATGTAAGCAATACAATTAATGTGATCAAATTTTAAATGTTATACACACATAAGCAAAAGACATCAACCACCAAATATATGTATATATGTATGCATATGTATTTTACATGTGTATATATGTACAAAATATTTTTTAACAAAAACAGGAAAACATACCATGCAGAGTATTTAATTAATTGCTTTCTTCAATTATTACTGCAGACTTTTCTTGTCAAATACACTTTCACAACATGATTTTGCTGTCTGCATAACATTCTATTATATGGATAATTTACTGAACCAAACTCACTAATAGACAATTAGGTCACTAGATTAGTGAATATCCTTTTATCTCGAACTTTGCATACATCCTTATTTATTCATGTATGTATGTATTTTAAAACCAGCGTATTTATTGCATAATAATCATTGAAATCCTTAAGATGAACTGGATGCTGCAATAGCTGCCCTCTTGGGTTTAGGTATTGTTCCTTCACAGAATCCCTGCCTGAATCCACAGTATACAATTTTTAGGTGCTTCATGTGACCAGTCTCAGTGATGTTTGGTTGTTTAGGCTTGGCAGTCCCCTAGTTACACATCCAATTGTGCTTGGCCAGGTAGCCACACTTGCCACATGTGTACTTCTGAAGGTGATAGGCCCTTGAGCAACAGCACGGCTTGCCGTGTGTGGCTCAGCATGTGCAGCTCAGCATGTACATCATGGTGCTTCGCTTACCGAAATATGACGTTCCATTGTCACCTGGCTTCTATGGCCAAGACCAAAGAGAACTGTATACATCCTTATTATTTATTTAGAATATATTCTTGAGAGTGGAATTGATGCAAAGGGCTGTCACTGTGTGTTGTTTTTATACAGGTTTCCAAAATTTTCTTCAGAAAGTGTGTGCATAGTTACACTCTGGTCACAACTGCACTAGAGATCTTTTTTCCCAAGACTTTACTAGTGCCAGTTGCTATTTTTAATGCCTGTAGTTCTGATAAATGAAAATGGTGTCTTTTGTTAATTAAAACAAGACAACATTTTTCTCTTATTATTAGCATTTGTATTTTTTTAATCCTTACCTGAGGACATTTTTTCCTTGCTTTCAAAGAGAGTGGAAGATTGAGAGGGAGTGAGAGAGAGAAACGTGAACTGGTTGCTTCCCATATGCACCTGACCAGGGATCTAACTGCAACCTAGGTATGTGCCTTGACTGGGAATTGAACCGACAACCCTTTGGTTACATGGTGGCGAGCCAACCAACTGAGCCACATTGGCCAAGGCTGTATTTCTTCTTTTATGTCTTTGCTTTTATTTGTTAAAATTTCTTTTTTGCAGAGAAATACTAAAAAGAAAAAGAAAGCCAAGGCACAAATTGGCCACAATATCATCAACTAAACACATCAGCATTTCATTTGCCTTTGTTACCTTTAGTCTTTGACCACAGGCATATTCAGTGGTTATATATTTGCAGTTATTGATCAAACTTTTTATTCTATATATTCACATAACATTATATCATGGATTATTCTTAGGCTTAGAAATAAACAAATCCTATTCCTTTTCTGTACGGTAGCTCTTTATGTATTTGAGACTACTATACCTTATGGTAAGTCAGTTCTTAACAACATCCTCTTGTGTTATATAGCACATTTTATGATTTTTTAAAAATTTTTATTGACTTTTAGAGAGAGGAAAAAAAACATCGATGTGAGAGAGAACTATCAATTGGTTGCCTCCCATATGCACCCCAACTGAAGACCAAACCCATAATCTAGGTATGTGCCCTGTCAGGGAAACAAACCTGCAAACTTTTTTGTACTGGATGACATTCCAACCAACTGAGCCACACCAGCCAGGGCTATATATCATGTTTAGATCTCTGGCAATCCATGTCCACTTAATCTGAAGGAATTCCAGTTTTTTGACCCCTGATGGATTATGGTCAGGATTGTGCTAATAAAATGGAGGAATAAGAATTTCTGAAAATTTTGGTCCAGAAGACCTTAAGGGTTCTTCTTGGGCACAAGGAGACTGGAGACTGTCTTGCACCTACTGGCAATCTGCTCTGGCGGCTGCTCCTCCTTGCATTTTTAGGAAAGCGGTGCTGTGGGGCAGTTAAGAGCACAGATGTTGCATGAAAATAGGCAACCTGTCTGCCTTCAACCCTGCTCCCTTAGTTATGTTTCCTTTGGCAAATTGTTTAACCTCATTTTCCATATCTGAAAAATACAGATTAGAGTACCTACCTCATAGAGTTTTGTTGTACTTACGTTGGATAGAATTTGTCTAGTGTTTAAGAGCCCATTAAGTGATATTATTAGTTAGCCTTGCCATCAGCTCCTCCTTCCGTGGTCCTCTTCACCCCCACATGACAAACTGATGAGTAAGGTAAACTTCCTAAGACTACCCTTTTGGCTATTAAAATAATCACCCAGATCTTTTTTGTTTAAGCATCAAAAAGTGGCAAAACTTAAGGGATTTTTATAAATTGTGTAATAGTCCATGCTTTATTCTCCTCTTCTGAGATTTTAACTCAAAGTCCCCATTGGATAACTAATCGCAACTAGTCACTATTTTCATTACTGTGGACAAAGTTTAGCCAACCCACTTCCAGGAGGAAGAATGGACTTCAACGTTGCAGATGAGAATCTGGCATTTCTAAAGAGTCCTTTGACCTTAAGGCACTTGTTTCCCTGGAAATCTATATAGGAAAAAGCACTTTGGAGATAGTGCCTAAGCACATACCCAAAGCCATCTAGCCAACTACCTACTATACTGCTAGTGCCCATGGTCTATACTGCTAGTTCAAATTCAACATGACCAAAAAGAAACAATTATCTTCTATTCACTCACTTTTGCCACCCCCTGTAAACCTGCTTTTTCTCCTGAATTTCCTCTTTCTTAGTGACACCCTCTGTCTACTCTTGCCTCCCCAGTTAAAAATTAGACTCCTTCCTCTTCCTTATCTCCCCTCAACAAATTAATCACTCAGTCCCATAGCTCTAATCTTCTAAATACTTTTTATGTGTTTTCTCTTTTCATATGGCTGCAGCTTTAATTTAGGCCATTTTAAGACTTGGTTGGATTATTACTGTAGCTGCTTAACTACTCCTAATCCATTGAATCTACCCTGACATCAAGCTGATTTTCGAAGAGACAAATCTGATTATGCCTTTCCCTGCTTAAAACTCTTCACTAATGTGGGGCCTGCAGAGAATGAGCAGATACAAAGAGATGGCCAAAGCTTGCACAGTTAGGAACAAGTAAACAATCAGGGTTAAATTATTAGTCAGGATTAAGAGGATCTGTGAGAGCATAGGGCCAAAGCTAAGGAAGAGGTTAAAAAGATCATGGGCTTGGTACATAAAGGGGAAATGAGCAAGTAAGTAATTATATTAAGAATAATGAAAACCAAGTTTTTCTAAGAAGGAAGTTACAAGTATGGAAAGAGTGAAGGCTAGAATTAATTATGTGGAATTGTATTAGAATTGGAAGTATCGATGTGAACTCAAGGTTTAGATACATAAATAGATTATATAGATGGATATGTGTGTGCTCATGGGTAAAGCTCTGACTACTAAGAGGGCCTAATGAGGATGAACACACCTAATCTCCAGATCTTGGTTTCTAAATACCATTCTCCACTAAAAGGAATTAGGGCTCCTTGGAGGATTGGCTCATTCCACTGCCAGAGAAGTGGAAAGTACAAGATAAGTTTGGAGAATTTCATTGTACCAGGGCATAAGGTACAGCTCAAAAAATGAAGGAGACAATAGAAAGGACACAGTAGAATGAGAGTCACAAAATGGCAACAGAGCAGGAGGATGTGTCCCCTCACCTCTTCCCAGAACCAAACTGGAAATTAAAGAGGAGAACAATCGTCTGAAATAAACCTGATTAAGAGACTTTTTAACCAAGGATGGGCAAAAACCACCTGGAGACTGGTAGGAAGAGCAGGGATGTGAAAGGGGCTAGCCCCATTCACATGGGCAGTAGGCTGAGGCTGCAGCATGCAGCCTGAGGCAAGAGAAGCCAGGTGCAGAGACAGAGCTCTCAAGCACAGAGGG